TGGGCGATATTTATAAAATTTATTCACCTCATAGCTGTTTAAATGCTGTAAGAATGCTTATCCCATAATTTATTTAATAAGACAAATGTTATTGGAGTAATACAAAACAAGAAAAATTATTGAAAGAAATATTAGTGAATTATAAACAAATAGTTCAAATAGAACATAATTCGATAAGTAGTAAGATTTAATTCTCTCCAAAATAAAGAATAAAAAAATGTTGCACGAAACAGTAATAATAAATAAATGAATGACATTTTGTGCAGTAATTAATAAATGAATTAGTTGAATTCAAATACAATTCAATTACTGACTGATACTATCGAATTCGGTCTAAAAACAAAAAATTAGATTTCATAGTGAAGATGAAGCGAATATAAGCTTTTCCAATGTCAATTACATGCATGAATCCTCAAGCAATTTCATAGAGACCTAAATAGTTTGCTGAAGTGGAAAATAATAATCTGAATTAAAAGTTAAAAGAATTGAAAAAAAAACAGTCAGAACTTTGTCTGTAAATATACTTTGCTATAATGATGAAATAAAAATTATTAAAAACTATAATTGTACAGCTGAATTTTAAACTGTAGAGTTCGGCATCCCCATAAATTTCACTATAAATATTATGCAGAAGTTTATACAAAAGTTTATTTTCAAATAGCATTTTCTAATTTTGCTATATCAAATATCCCAGAAAAGTGGAATGTTAAAATAATAGGATTAAGTTTCTTCAAATATTTTTTTAGGATTCTCTTTAAAATCTTTTGTTTGCTACAAATTACTGAATTTTCTATCTTTCTTAGCAATCCATCAATAATGCTAACAAAATGGAATTTGGAATTTGTATATTAATTTTTAATTCGAATTATTTTAAATTCAACAAATATTTTTGTGCACATATTGTTAGATGAATCAAATAAAATTACATTACATAAGTGAATGAATCACATAAGTAATACCAACCACTTTTTTTTCAATTTTTATATTAAATTCTAGCAAATATTTTTATATTAAATTCTAGCAAATATTTTTTTTTCAATTTTTATATTAAATTCTAGCAAAAAATTTTTATATTAAATTCTAGCAAATATTGACCGCTGCAACATCGTTACGTGCTAAGTGAAATGTTATAAAACCGATTTAAAATGGGCCAAAATTTCAATGAATATTATGTAATAAATATTTAAAGGTGCAGGAAGTCTAAAAAAATATTTTGGTCAATAGAATTCAAGATCAAAAAAAGGAAGGAAAAATAAAATTGACGAAGAATCATATGCATGCCCTGATTTGAAGCAAACTTTTATTTTTGCTTTATAATTCAGATTTCACTCAGTATTTTACAAATTTAACTGAAATACATGTGCCTTTCTTAATTTATAACAATTGAATGATAATTTTTTCATGTAAGCAACAATTAAAATTCATACTAACATTTTGTGCAATAACTTTAATTGCTATAAAATAAACAACATTAAATTTTGTTATTGATATTTCTGTCAAAAAGATTAATCCTTTTTATCTTCTCCTATCAATTTTACCAAGAAAAAAAAACCTCAAAAGTTTTTTCATAAAACGAATCTTTTATCATCGAATCAAATTTTTGTTGCGGCAATATTTTTGATCCTTCTGCCAGGATGATGCAATTTTTTGGCATATTTTGAACCATTATCTGAAAAATCAAATAGGTAATTATTAGTTTTGATGAATTCCATTTACAAACACTGATAAAAATTTTGAATTTTTTAAAATCTTATCTATTTTTATCTGTCGTTTAAAATTAATTTATCAATAAAATTAGCAGTTGGATGACTTAATAAAGTGGTGAATGTAATAATACTGCTCTTTCAATTAAAAAAAATTATAACTTTCTAAAACATGCAAAATGCATTTAGTTAGAATAAGAATAAATAATTTGAAAAAAAATTTCCCAAAATGTATGAATAATATTTTTTAGCAATACTTTTACCATCCATTTTCCCAAAACTAACGAACAAAACCCTGATCATTTAGAAGAAGTAATTAAGCACCAAATACTATATAAGCCAGAAAAATGCGAAGAATGATAACTGTCGCAAAACCGAACGATATTTCGTTCGCGTCCTTCATTTTTTGATTTTTATTCTTTCCCAAGTTCCATCTACCAGAACTCCGTGCTTCAGAAGTTTCTAGCTGAAATAGCTTTCTTCTTCTAGTAATTTAAGAAAATTTCTCTTTTTAGTAATCTTTTCTTCCATCTAATACTCCAAAAAATTCCCTTTTTGGAATCTTCAATCCTAAAATAAATTTAAAAATATCAGATTTTTTTCTTTTTACATCAAAATATCGATAGACAGATAGAGATTGAATTTAACTGTCCATTTTATCAAAAAATTGTTTCAATCATTCTTACCATAACACTGACAATTTCTGAATAATATCTGTTGTTAATTTTTTCTATATAGAATATATTTTTAAATCGATTGTTTTAATATTTGTTTTTTTATAATATCTCATCAAACAAAATTTTGCAGTGATTCAATCTTTTATAAAATTTGACTTAAACTAATGTTATCAGTGAGAGATATGATCGACATAATATTTTGCAGAATGAGTAGATAAAAATTTAACATTTACTGATACATTATAAATACTATTACTGTAAGGATTCTGATGCATAAAATTCTTTAACATCTGCTGTGACATTATGACTTTTATTGCTAAAGAATTTTAATAGTTTATGCACTTGTAATATAATATCAAAAGTTCTTAAATTTGAAAAAAGCACTAAAAATGCAAAATTATAACTGAGCAAATAACCTTTTGCTTTCAATTCATAGCATAAGTATTTAAATAATGTACAACCATTGTTACTGAAATGCTAAATATATCATAAAATCATGGCAAACAATCGATCACTGTTGTTATTGGTGCAATGCGATTGTAATCTGCAAAATATATTTGTTATTTATTATTGAAATATTTGAAATCAACAATCTAATGCTTCAGTTTTCGAAAGATATATTTTAGTCAAATAAATAGAAAAAAGACATCGAATAGAAAATCAAAAAAAAAAATGGGATCAAAGAGGAGAAAAATGAGGAGAATAACTTATTTGAGTAATAATAAATGCATATTTACGAAGTTTTGCATAATGTTTTTAGAGTGATGTGATAAAAATTTGTTACTTGAAATTGAATTTATACATCCAAATAATAAAGTATCGTATTTGCTAACCTTCAGGATTTTTGTAAATTTTTCAATACTTTCGTCTTCTGAAAAATCTATGCTGTTAGTTGATAATCATTTAGATGTAAAATCCAAATTTCATGCGATTCATGCAATGTCGGTAAATCCGAAATTTTATGAAATAAAATTATTTACATGAATAGAGATTTTGTATAGCTGACAGTTAGGCTAAATAAGCCGCTTTCCGCAATCTTTCCATTAATGCTAAATTCAAATTCCTATCAACGGTATGTGCCCCATTCACAGTCATTGCCCACTAAAACATTTCCCGCCATCGCATGTTCTCTGTCTTTCTTTTTATCTGTGACAACAAATGTGCCAATGAGTAATCAAACAATCCTTTTTTCCCATCGCTTCCTTCTTCCTCTTCATCACATAGCATTGCCTAATTGTGAGATTATCTCTCGCTGTCTGCATGATCCAATATTGACTTGTCCCATATATGTCCGCATGATCTAATATTGATTTATCCATGCTTATCTTCATGATCTAATATTGATTCATCTATATATGTCTGCATGATCTGATATTGATTTATCCCATATATGTTTGGATGATCTGATTGAGAGATCTAATGGTGATTTGTATATGTGCATGATCTTTTGTGACTCATCTACATAGCTTCTATTGATTTACAATATATCAAAATGACGATACCACCCAATGATTGCTCAGAACAAAGTGACTCGAATAAGTTTCTACCAATTAATAAACAGAAATGGGAGTATTCATCTTTGGATGCTGTTAATTGTTAATATTTCCAATCTTTGTTCGAATAAACTCTTTCAAACATCATTATTATGCAATACCAATTTGCTTCCCCGAACCAAAGAAATTTTCTCACTGTAGCGATTGGTGTGTTCCTGATTAATTGAATTCAAGATTGGAACTTTCAAAAATTTACAGTGAACAGCTAATTTCCATTCTTTCCCTTTCTTACTTTTATTTTGAGCAAAAACATTTGAACCATTTTGCAAGGAATTGATTTCTAAACTTCAATTTCAACCTTTCCGTTCTTCTCCTATTATCTCAATAACCTTCTAAAATAGTTAAGATGAAGAAATCAGCAACGGAATGGGGAGAGGAAGATATCTAGAAAAGGTAGGAGAATGTTAAATAAATGAAGTGCGAATTTAAACCAAAATTACGACATCGTTCTGACTTATCCATGTGTAAAAAAAATTAAATTTAAAAGTGAAACAATGTCAGAAGTGATAAATGAGAAATTCGATGGCTTATGATTTATTCTTTTCCTCTTTCTTAATTAGAAGCAAATTTAAAAATAAATTAACAAACTGGTAATCCAATGTTATCATGATATTGGTATCATTCACAAAAAAAAGATTCAAAACTGTTGTTTGTGAAAAAAAGTCATTTGTGAAAACTTTTATAAAAAGAAAATCCTCAAATTAATTAATTGAAACGTTGTGGTCTTTAAAAGTTAGTATTTATGGACGACAAAAACTAAAAATATGCAACAATCTCACATCAAAACATTTTGAAGAAATGGAATTTAATTAATTTGCATCAATTCTATGCCTTTGTTTTGCTGTGAAATAATAAAATAATAATATTTTAGCATATAATTATGAGTTCTGCAAATTTAAATATTCATATTTACATGAATATAAGTTGTGTAAATTTAAATATTCATATTTATATGAAAATAACAAATTAAAATTTTTTTCAATTGTTATTGACCTAATTTAAGTAGTTGTAATTATTGACTATATATTTAATGATTCATAAAAAAGGTATCGAAAGAGCGGTTGCTCATGTCGAAGGGTGAAGGAAACGGTCGAAACGTTGGTAACGAGGACGGCGCAGATAATACGTTAGCAATTAAGTGTTTGTTTTGTTTAATGTATTTAACGGAATAAAATTCCCATTTGTAAATCTTATTTTCTCTTCCAATTAATTTGTTTCAAATTTTGAAATAAGAAATTATTTTTCTTCTTTGCAAACGTTAGCTTAAAAGGTAAATATAACATTCGAGAAGAAAGCTTTAAATCAAACATTTAAGATAGCAACAATTCTTATAAGTATAAACACAGTTTTTTTTTTTTTAATGCTACAAGGTAATATTAGTTTTATAACTGTAATGATATCATGATAATAGCAAAATTATTAATAGCAACAATAATAATAATGAATCGAGAATATTTGCTTATTATATGAGAGTACCAAAAATGGATAGACAATGTTATATTATAATTGAACAAATGCTAATCTAATAAATATTTCTGAAGTTAAATTTAATCGGAAGAATATTTTTATAATGGTGTTAAAAAACGAATGAATGACTAACTGATAGCATCTATTTCAGGTGGTGGATCAGTTCATCAGGATGATAATTGTTTAGGAAAACCTGAAGAAACACCACAAGTAAATGATTGTACATCATCTCAAATGCAACCGAATTGGAAAGAATTAGTAGAAAGAGAATTTCAGCCGCCAAACGGAAAGAAGGATGGCTTCTCACGTATTATACATTTCGATGAATCCGTTCACGTTGACATTCCAACGTGAGCTTTTATTGCATTATTTACCTTAGTACATATTTAAAACTGAAGCAATAAGTAAACATATAAGGATGAAATTTTGTTTTCCCGAATAAATAACAAATTTTTTGAATAGAATGGAAGATTCTGCACGAATGATTTAAATTATGAGTATTAGAAGAATCAAATTTGCAGCTCACCGAAAACAGTTTCCGATTCATCTAACACAGAAAAAAGAGCGTGCCGTATTTGTCAATCGGAAACCGGCGAGCTTGTTCGGCCATGTGCTTGTACCGGAACTGTAAGCTTTTCAATTTATTTAATTCCTCTTTCCTATATCTATTATGAAAAACGATTTAATTCGACAAATTAATGATCGATTTCATGTTTATTTATATTTAGTATGTAATTTATGTTCCATTCATTACATTTCTTTTTTATTATTATTATATTGCTTGAATCCGGAAATTTATAATCTAAATGATATAACAAGCTGATTTGTATGTTCAACAAGCTTCTCCTAGTTTTATTTAATTCGATATATTTAATCAATTAAGTTAACTAGCGCAAACGGATAGATTACTAACCTTAATATAGTATTAGAGCTTAATTAATAACTCTTTTTTACATTTTGGAAGAAAAGAAAATACCATTTTTTGAAATATCTGAGTGATTATATTTTAAATGTTTTAAGATACACATATAAACATATAAAACTTTAACAAAAGTATTAATTTCAATCAAATAATTCATTAAAACGTTCATTTGTTTAATTTGTCGCAATGTAATTTAATAATGTGTACGAAATTTTTCAAACTACTTAGCTTAACAATCACTGTATTAAATAACTTTTTTTCCAATTTTATCCATTAAAAATAATCAGTTATTGATTCACATTTTCAAGTTTTTATGATAACCTTCATTTATTATTTATTATCATTATTTATCATTATTATTATTTATTAGTATCATTGTTATTACTTATTACTATTATTTTTTTTTATTTTTATTAATAACAACCCATTTCCATTCTCAAACATGATAAAAATTCTATTTAAAAATCAAAACAGAATCAAAGGAAAAAAAAACAATTTGCAGATGGGAGATATTCATGAGCATTGTCTAAACGAATGGCTACTACGATCCAACAATGATGATCGATGTGAGATTTGTCAAGAACAATATTCAAAATCCGGAAATATTTTGCAGCCTATATGGAAGTGGCAGAAACCACAAATTGAAATGACGGTTAGAATTTTGATCATTTTTCCTTTTTATCTTTGATCATGATAAAATATTTGGCAACTATAATAAAATGAAAAATTGGCAACTATCTAACAACTATTAGAATTTTTCTTTGTCAGAATCTTTTTAGCAATAAAAGAAAATGTTAAGATAACATTTTTTTTACTTATTTAATTCAGAACAAATTATATTTGAAAAAATTTGGAAATTTTATATTCTCACATTTTTTCAACTTTTACAAATTTAGTTAGAAGGAAATATTAAAATCACTCAATTAAAAATTAGAAAAATTTTAATTAAAAACAATTGAAATAGATAATTTTAAAACAAACTGTTGAAGTAACTACAATAATCAAAATAACTAGAAACAATATTAGTAATAGCAGTAATAATAAAATAATAGCAAATAATTCAATTTTAACTTTAACTTGCAACAATTTATAAATAACATTCCTTAAATGATCCATTTTAATAAGAATTTGACTACCTTAAAAATCTCATTTATGTGTCAAGAAATCGAATTAATAAACGCATGATTGATAAATTTAGATTGATAATGAATAATCAAGTAATTTAAAATTTTCGATAATAAATTAAGATCAATTCAGCAATTATTACTAATATGTGTAGAAATGAAAAAGACAAAATATCTAATTTTAGAATATTGTTGAATTATCATCAATAATTTGTTTATCAATATGCTTGTGGTATATGATAACGCTTACTATTGAACGAGAATTTTTTGATCGGATTTTTATAGCTGGCTTACCACCACGTTCACCTGATATAGCACGTATACGTAAGTGTATTTGTAACATTTTAAATATTTAATATTAGCATAGTAGAATAATACTTCCATCATTTTATTTCTATTATGAAATCTTTTTAGTCCTTATCATGATAGCTTTTGAATTGTAGACTACTGTATTTTAGGTTAAATTTTTGTAAAACTTTA